TTCAGGTGTCTCAGAAATCTACTTTAACAGTTAATGGTTAATGGTTAACGGTTAACAGTTAACGTGCATTTAACTTACTTATTTTCAAAGAAATAAATATTTAAAAATCATCGTTTTACTTATTTTCAAACATAATTTTATTTTACAATGAACATTGCACATCAACGTATATCGTTAGCACACCAGAATATACTACGAAATAAATTGCTTTTATTAAAAAGTTAAAGGACCTCTTTATAATTAATTATTTGTAAAATTTAATTATAATTATAATATAATTATACTTAAATCATTCATTTTTTAATTATAAAATATATTCAATATATCACTTTAATATTGTTTTTTATTTGAAAACCCAAGCAATTGTTCATCCTCCATCCATTGTTGACAAAATTGTCCCAAAAATCCAATCGCCCGCGAGTCGCGACCCATTATGTTGTTAGAAATTTATTCTTTTTCTATCAATCTCTGTTTCCGATGACCCATATCAGTGGACAATATAAAGTATATTAAATATATCACTTTAATTTGATTTTAATTTGGAAACCCAAACAATTGTTCATTGTTGACCTAGAAATCCTACCGCCGACGTCCCATGATGTTGTCGAGAATTTATTTTTTACCAAATTTTGCCGTCGATGACCCATATCAAGAGTTATCTTCTCTTTTCTTTTCACCAAATAAATTTAAATATTTAAACAAAAATATTAATAAATAATGATATATTCCACCACTACAAATAACAAATTGTTTCGGGTTCTTTTTTCTTAAAAATTAAAAATTGACTTCCGAGTAGAAACATTACAAATTAAAAATTGGAAAAAGTTGACTTTATTAAATTCTTTCATACAAATAATCGAATATTGTTCGGAGATTTATTTTTCTTACAATCGAGTTAAAATCATAGAATATATCACAAAAAATTTATTATTTCGTTCCATCGCAGTCGGTCACAATCTGCGCGCACACTCTGTTTGCTGCTGAGCACAGAGTATTGAGCCACACGACGGCCTACACGTTGTTAGCGATCAAAGGGATATATTTTCGTCAGCAAGCGCCAAAATTCCTTTTCAGAAATTTCAGAGTGGCACTCGTGTAATTCAATAGATTCCAAAGGGCTGGTAAATCCATCTCACCGGTGACTACATATAAAATAATTCAATTTTCACCTTGATTTACCAGAAACCAGAGAGGAAAGCAACGATAATCTTTACCCGAGAGACACATAAAATAGGCTTTGACGATTATGACAGAAACCGGACCTAATAGGTGCTGATTGTTGACTAAGGTATGCCAACGCCTTCTCTGATGTTGTTCTTTGAGTTCAATACGAGGTTTATGTTCATAATTAATGATTTAGGAATATGGGTTAGCACTAGAATCAATCGAAATGATCTTCTTTTTTGGGTTGCTTTTGTTTTTCTGATGCTACAACCGACCCTTTCTTTAGCTTAGGAAATGAAATTCTGGGCTTTTGATTATATATGAAGAAAATGGAGATATTAGATTTGAAATCTTGGAGCTAATTAATTAATCGTGATCTCTATGCAACATTTTTGTGCCTTTATATGGTTTGCTTTGGACACAGATTTAATTTAGTACCAAGCTTTAGCATGTGAATTTTGAGGCTTGATTGCATCTTTTGGAGGAACTATGACTTCCTTTTAGCCACTCATCTAATCTTTGACTTCTAGCTACCATCTGTTGTTTCACTAGATTATGTTTTTCGTTGATGTCTCGTGCTTCGTCGATTAGCTTCTGATTTGAAAGAAAGTTGCTTTGAGGTTTTATGCTTCCTCTATTGGTTATATAATATAACTTCTTGAATTTTATTGGATTTCTTTTAACCAGATTATGATTGCCCTTTGATATTTCTACCTTGCACAAGTAAAGCTATTGATGGTCGAAATTTGATAGTTAGGATGGGGATTTACATAACCTATTCCCTTTTCGGTTAATTAGTTATTTAGCTCAACCAATTGACTGCTGCTGTTAGGAAAAAAAGGTGTTACTTGTACTTATTGACTAATCCTGTTGTCGCATCGAAAATCAGTCAAGAACAGAGTTTTTTTGGAGGGAGTTGATCAGCGGGTTGATCTTAGATGCAAACGTCTCAGAAAAACAGAGCTCCAGCCACTATCCACAGGTTGTATAGCCAACCTGTTAAGGAAAGCGATCAGTTTTGTTTGCCTCATATCCAGATATTAGAGAACAATATATGTTCTGATATCGGCAGCCAAGGAACTGATGTTTCTTTCCGAGCCTACAATGACCAGATATTTACTCTGGAGTCATCCACAACGACTGCCAGTTTTGCTGGCTATGATTCCCCTTCTGCTATAAGCATCTAATCGGGCAGGAGTCCTTTCTCTTCGCAAGGGTCTCAATCATGGATGTCTGATCCTCATCATTCCCCTCAAAATAATCATGGATCACCGTTCAGTGGATCTTCTTCCGTTGATGATGGCAATGGATTGAAGCACAAGCTGCGGGAGCTGGAAATTTCCTTGTTGGGGCCTGAATCTGATATTATAGACAGCTGCAATTGTTGCTTCAGTAGTGGAGCCCACCAAGGTGGTTCAATGGTAGACATGAACCACGATCAACTAATGAACATGATTCCTAGGTTAAACTTGAAGGAGATGCTTGTTGCCTGTGGTCGAGCACTTTATGACAACGATATGTCGACAGTGGCAGGTTTAATGCATGTATTGGAGAAAATGGTTTCGATATCCGGGGATCCAGTCCAACGATTGGGTGCTTATGTGCTGGAAGGGCTTAGGGCAAGGTTGGAATCCTCGGGGAGTAATATCTACAAAGCCCTGAAATGCGACTAATGTCTTACATGGGTATTCTCTTCAGGATTTGCCCATACTGGAAGTTTGCATACACATCTGCTAATACTGTAATCAAGGAAGTCATGCAATATGAGCCAAGAATTCACATCATTGACTTCCAAATAGCACAAGGCACCAAGTGGATGTTCCTTATTGCAGCTCTTGTGAAACGCCCAGGTCGGCCCCCGTCTATCCGCATAACCGGCATCGACGATTCTCAATCAAATCGTGCTCGAGGTGGGGGGCTTAATATCGTGAGGCAGAAGCTATCAGAATTTGCCAAGTCATGCAATGTGCCATTCGAATTTCATGATACAAATGTTACTACTAGTGAGATTCAACTAGAGCACCTTAAAGTTTGTCTTGGGGAAGCTCTAGCTGTGAATTTTCCGTATGTATTGCATCACATGCCGGACGAGAGCGTAACCATCTGGAATCACAGAGACCGACTGTTGAGATTGGTGAAGAGTTTGTCACCCAAGGTTGTCACCCTCGTCGAGCAAGAGTCCAATACCAACACATCCCCGTTCTTTTCAAGGTACGTTGAGACGCTGGACTATTACACTGCTATGTTTGAATCCATAGACGCAGCCTGTCTAAGAGACGACAAACAAAGGATCAATGCAGAGCAGCATTGTGTGGCTCGCGATATCATGAATATGATTGCTTGCGAGGGGCCAGAAAGGGTGGAAAGACACGAACTTCTCGGAAAGTGGAGGTCAAGATTTATGATGGGGGGCTTTTCTCCATATCCATTAAGCTCCTCGGTTACTATAGCTGTAAGAGGTATGCTGAAGGAATATGACAATAACTATTGACTTGCAGAGAGAGATGGGGCTCTATATCTTGGGTGGGGAAACAGAGCTATGGCAACCTCTTCCGCATGGAGGTGAAAAATCTCGTTACCAGCAGTGATTCCTCCACGGATTCTGTAAATTCTTCCCTCATTCTCAATTTGATAGCATCAACCTTTCAGTGTGTTGTAAATTCATAGAAATATGAGCTTAGCTTGTGTTGTTTCTTTTTTATCGTATTAGACAAAGTGACCGAAATGACAAAAATATTACTGTACGTTTCTGATGAATGTAGTCACTTATGGACTGATAGAGTTGAGGGTTGAAAGTGCTATTTATGGATTATTGGTGAGAGTCGAATCTTGAAACTTATCGTTGGTTAAATCACATGATCGATTTAATCAATACTAAGACGACGTCGTGTTGAGCTTTTTGCCCCAGCATACTGAGACAAGATGTAAACAAGGCTATGAAAATGAAAGTGAAACGTATACTAGAGCCATCTTTCCTTATCAACCAGACACAAATATTACATTTTAGGGTAAATTGCACCAAACATCCTTAAAATTATAATATATATTTTATATTAAGTCTTAACTTTTAAAATACTGTAATTAAACTTTTGATAAATCAATTAGGTTCTTTTGTAATGTCAGCTCAAATATAATGTGGAGTGTAAAAACACTAATAGAAGAACATGATTGGTACAATACTAATTCTTTGAGGATTTAATCACAACATAAAGTTTAGGGACCAATTAGAATCTAAGCTATTATGAGGAAATCTGACAAGTTAACCCTTTTTATTTAGACGGGAAATCAGATAAAATCAAAAGTGTTTAAAATAAATATATTATATAATTACAAATAAATTAAAATTTAAAAGACAATTATTTTCCTAAAAATCAAATATCGAAATGAATAACACATGAATAAATTTAACAGTTCGTGAATCCATTTGTACGAAGAACAGAAGCAATTTGCCCAAAAATATAATACTAATAGAGAGAAAAATAAAAGCACCGATTCGATCTAATTAGCTATTCTATTCATTTTGCATTCTTACATTTGCCTTATTGTCTTTGATCTTTGGGGGTTTTTTTCCAGCTTCTCTTCTTCCTACCTTCAACTCCAGCGTTCAGGTTAGCGTTTTCGTTTTCATTTTCATTTTCCATTACTCAGTTTTTTTTTTAATTTGTAATGATCTGAATTGAAGATATTTCATCCATGAGATCAGAAATGTTTGCAGCTTAATCAGTAGACTTAATACTCTCTTTGTAATTTACTTTCTTACAATTGTGAAATAATTTGTATATGTATATGATTCCTCTCATTAGAATTACAAAGGTTTCTTTTATTCTTGGTATTTGCTTTTGCGTGAAAAAACTTACTCGGTTTTTGAATTAGGATTAGGATTGTGATTGTGTTGAATTCTGCTGGGAAATTATGATGGGAGAACTAGCAAGCAGATCAGAGCTGCGGAAGGAATTAGAGAGAGAACGTCGTCGTATGAGGGACCGGCAAAGAAGGCAATCTATGAGCCTTGAGGAAAAAGAAAAGCATCTCGCTAGACGCCGAAGAAATTATCAATTGCGGAGGCAAAGGGCTGAAACTGCTCGATCAAACCCTCCTCCATTGCCAATTCAATTGCCTTTAAGTAATGCCTTAACTTGTGTTGCTAATGCTTTTGTAAGATCCAGTGATGAACAACAAAGACCAATGCTCGATAACAAAAGCTCCCACTGTCAGCACCCATTACTTTACAATTAATGTTTAACTTGGAAGGGAAAAAACTTTCTTACTGTGTTTTTATTAGTTCCTTGTCACATTAACTCATACAGGTTTGGAAATCCCTGCTCATAAGTTAGCTATTTTACCTGCAAAGGTACGTCTGAATCGCATAAAACATCTGGCTCGAGTGATAAATGATCCTGTTGGTAATGGGGTTGCAGTTGGTGGAATGATGAAGGAAAATGGAACTTCCAATTGTGAGTTTAACAATTCATATGGATAATTGTCAATGATTCAGTTTGTATATCTTTGATACCATTTATTAATGAACTGCTCAATCTCGGATTATGTGTTTGCATATAAAAATTTTCTGTTTTGGTTTAACATCCAAAGGATTGCGATTGAATCGTATTAAACATCTTGCTCGAACAGTAAGTCCTGCTGGGCAAGACACTCTTAGTCAAAGCAATCAAAGCATAACAAAAGATAAGAATTCACATTTACATATATATAATGTACCATGACACACAATTCATTGTTCTTTGCTAAAAGTATTTGCATTCGAAAAATCAGACTGATAATGCAATCTCTAGAATAGCTGAGAAGTGTCATCTCTAAAGAGAAATTCATTTGATGATAATTTATGCAACTTTAAACAGTTTAGTAAGAGTTGAGGATGCTATTTGTATCACATTATCATTTTGGTGGATTCAGATAAACTAATAGTTGCTTTTACGATGTAATTTTGTTGGTTCAACCTGCGTACTTTTTTTAGATGGATTATGACATGTTTTTGCTATTATTATGTTTAGGGTGAACATCTCAAGAAATACAAATCAGTCGTATACAAATTTATTTCGGCTCCTCCCCAGGTTCTTTCAATTTAAGATTTGTAAGTTTATTACGTCTCTCTTCCATAGTTGAGATTCTTTTGCTCTTGCATTTTATGCTCACTTGTTACATCAAAACTGTCTGAAATGGATGAAATTTATGTATGAAACTAAAGTTCTTAGCAGAATAGCAGTCTTGGTTCAAGGGTCGTGCACATCATATAACTATCAAGAATTCGACAACTCATGCTATAAATTAAACCCTTTTCTTTTGTCGATTTCTGTATGGTATATAAGACTGCAGGGTGGAGAAAAAAGATGGTTGCAATGGTAGACAAGCATCACCGATATAGACAACTTGCTGTACAAAAGGTCAGAGAAGTTTAGAATAGAATTGCATGATGATGATGAAACGAACCATATACTAGGGGTTGATTTTGACACACAATTTTTAATGACTTTTTTCATTCATTTGGATCAATCTCAGTGCTATCACCTCTGCTGTTTTGTTATTCAATTGGATGAAAACTATCTTACAATATTTGATTTATCAATTTTATATTTTTCTTTGTTTATAGATCATGTTAATTTTGTTTATGATAAAAAAGGTAATTTGTTTAAATATAAAATTTTGTTGCCAAATCGACACTTTGTTTGTTTTGAAAAAAATATAATCATTGCAAATTAAATTTTTTTAACAATTGATTTTTTTAAAAGGGTTTGATGACATATTAAAAGCCACTTAATGGAAACATTTTGAATAGAAAAAGTAGTGAAAAAGATATACTTCTGTAAAAATTTACTTTAATAGAATATTTAAAAAAACATAAAATTCAATAAAAATTTAAAAATAAAAGTATTCAAAATTCAACACTTATAGTGATCAACTAATTTCTCCTGCATACCAAATAATTTTTGTATTCAAATTTCATACTTAATGAACTAAACATTTAGAAAATCAATATTTAATTTTTTTAGTACAATTGATTTTTAACCTATGATTTTCTATTGTTTGCACTGAATTTCAAGGTGAAACGACAGTGAGTTATTATCAAATTTTCCATTGATACCAACTTCGGATTTTAAAATTCTCTTGTATCTATTGATTTAATGATATGGTATATTAAATTTCTAAAGAAAAAAGTGAAGTCCAAACATTGGAGAACCTTTTTTATATAAAAAAAACTTAGATTTAAACTCACACATACGTATAGATTATGTTATTCGAACTTGAGTTATAAAAAAAGAAGAAGCAAAATTTACTATACCACGATTACTCTCTTGGAGAATGTTACTATCTGGAACTCCAAACATGGATTATAAAATGTACGTTGGGTTAGTTATGATTTCATATTGTTTGGGTTGTTTAACTGTTGGCTTAGGTCTATAATGGCCTAATTTATTGTGCTGTTATGCAAAACCCTAGCATCATCCAAATAGAGTGGCTGCGAGTTGCGCTATAAATTATCATTAGAACACCACTTTTGTTACTTCACGACGAAATTCTTCATTGAAAACGCTAGGAAACGGGGAATTTGTAGCTTTCTTCTTTTTGCGTTTAATTCGATCCTATGTATGGCGGAGGATTTGAAAATCATTATCTATGAAAACGGGGCAAACCGAGATTGTGTTTGTAAATCCCGAAGACAACGCCATAGAAAAATGCTCGTTGGCGTTGAAGGTCCTCCTCTCCGGGGGAGTTCCTCCGGCAACGGGTAGTCTCATATTCCATCACCTTGTGGAGCGGTGTCGCTGCTATTACCTCTTGAGACTGGCCATGACACAAACATTAAATTCTTCCCCCATTGATTTTTTTTTTACCTGAATGATCCCAAATGCCCAAAATGGTATTTTCATGTTCACAATTGAATCTTAAACAAGTCAATAATTCCAAATAGGGCGGTGGTTGAGAAGTTAAAAACAATTATTAGTTGAAATGACCCCCATCACATTCCATAATTACTATACAATAATATTAGTTGAACCCGCAATCCACTCTTCACATCTCCATATCGTGGGCTAAGTTATTTGATTGGGGTGTTTTTCGCGACCATCTCGGTAACTTTCTTTCATCTTACTGTAAGAATATTGGCCCATCGTCTGTTTTACATGCAGAACTCTTTGCTATATATGAAGGTCTTATAAGAGGTAATGATTATCATTACCTCCACGCATCATGTCGTATCTCGGCCTGTCGTTGGATGGGGTACTGGTCTCAAACTCATCGGTGAGTTGCCCGGTGTTCGATTTGACAACCATCAAACCATCGGGACTGCCCTTTTCGGCCTTGAAACACTTCAGGTATTCACATTACTTCTGAACCAAAAGCAGACAACAAATACAGATTGTACTGGAACATATACCACCATCTGGTGGGATGCACCGTGATAATCCTCAGTGTCATAAATGTATTCAAGGGATTCGACATCTTGAAACCTGACACGAAATGGAAAATGCATACATCGGTGTCATCGTGGTCTTGGCTTCCAGTGCCGTTGTGTTGGAAGTGAACACGTGGTTCCGCGTTGCAAAGAGGAAAAGGTCAGAAAGTGCAGGGAAATTGCAGCATGGTGCTAATGGAAATGGGGTTACTAATGGTTATGGTGCTAGGGCACAGCACTTTGCTCCATAGTTATGGTGCATATACTGAATACATTACTGATCATTCTGATAAGATAAAACTTATATTTTCCATTACAACTTCCAGTTCAGTTTCAAGGTTAGCATCCGAAAGATGACGGTCTACAACAAAATAAACAAACTACACCTAGACTTCTGGGCTAATGGCAAAACCACAAAATATTCTTGCCTTGATGCCCGTCGTACATTTTTCATTCCGACCATAAACAAGCAAATTACTTCAAAAGCTTAGAATCTAAAGACGTCGAATGCACAAAATACAACAAACAAACAAGTAGAAACGAGAAAGGTCTTCACCATCTGTTCTACCATCAGAGATAGCTGGAATTACCAAGGTCCTATACCCCCTGCAAGAAACAAGAATGAACCATTCTATCAAAAGTCACGGTCAAGACATTACAGATGCATTATATGATAATGAACTTTTTCAAGCAGTTATACCAACCAGTCAACATTGGCAGATCTATATCAGAGATCTCAGGACTGCTTAAGTAAATGATGATGTAGTAGTGAGTCACGTATTCCCATCACGGATATGCTTTCACATCCGAGAAGCTCACGAAGTTTGGCATCACACAGTACCACCATTGAGTTTGATGGATCCTGAAACAATAGCAAAAAACGCCTAGGAGATAAATACCAGTGATAAAGAACATAAACAATCCTAAAGTTTAATGGGAAGAGGTTGCACAAATTTGTGCGCCAGCTCCTACCTCCAAATGATTAACCTTTATGTATTCCCAAACACGATTTTCTGCCTCCGCTGCTACCATCTCCCTTCCTTCAGCACCCAAAAACTTGGCAAGTGCCTCAGATATAATTACAGGTTTGGGACCTGGTTTGACACCTTCAGTGGTGGACTTGGTATTTACCTTTCCTTTTTTTGTTCGACTTGATTCCTCTGCAAGGATTAGCAAAATTATTAACCTAATGAAGAAATCATCAAATTCAACTCATCATAGAAGAAAAATATATTGCACGTATCAACAATGTACTTGAGGGGTCAAGTGGGGTAATATGTTTTGCCAGCAGCTTGTTCATCTTGAACATGTCAGTGCAGTCTGTCTCAAACACTACACGTAAGGCTTCGTCGCAAATTATCTTTCTCTTGTTACTCGGATCTTGCAAGCTGTTCTTCCTTATATATGCCCACAGCTGCTTGACAATCTAAATCAAAAACATGTTAGAACAGAAACAATCATGCGCTACTGACTAAAAGTAATCTATGTTAATATGGGGAAACCAACCTCGGTCCTCGCCAAAGCTGGCTCACCAACTATGGCTTCAAGTGCTGGTGAAACACTGCAAACTTTGTTCAGACCCCCTGACCCACCTCTTCTTTTGGGTGCAACTGGAGCACTGCAGTGACATTTTAGAACACACAAATAGTTCAGTCATCGGTTGAGCGATTAATCCCTGTTTCGTGATAAAACGTTAAGGTACAACATTCGAATTTGCATCATGATCCAAAGAATGTAAGTAAAGCTGCCAAAACCTGATAAGATACATATATGCTAGCATAGGCAACGCATAATTGCACACTAATTTATCAACCCCCAGGCCGTAGCCAACAACTCAGCATATGAAGTGGTAAAATTGGTCATCTAAACCTAAATCCCCGGAGGGGGGAAATGACACCAAAACCCTAAATTATGGGGATAAGAAAACCCAACTTAAGTTGTACAAGCGTACAAAAATGCCTAACCCCCTCTAAAAAAACGTATTAACAGAAACCTAAAACAAACTAATTTTCACATGACCGCCCTCTCATTAAAAGATAAACCAAGAGATTACTGAAAAATAGGGAGGATAAAAAAGCGGCAAACCTTTCTTTGGGCACTTCAGTGGTGGCAATGTGAGCGACATTTTGAGCGGAAACTTCAGCTTTCGTGACAACCGGCTGGGGCTGTAGCTGCTGCAATTGGGGCAGGAGCTGAGGCGGTGGTTGAGCGGTGAGAGGAGGATGGGGGTGGCGGAAGTTGAGGTTGTGGGAAGGAAATTGAGAGTGATGAGGGTGGAAGGCAAAATGGGGAGGAAAATGTTCGTGGGGTTGATGTTGGAGGTTAAAATGGTCTTTAGGAGGAGACTCAGCCTGGGTTTGTGGGGGACGGAGCAGGAGGTTTATTTGGTCCCTAATGAAGCCAGCTTTATGGGAGAGGTCGGCACCTAGCTTGGCTTCCAGCTGCTGAACGACGCCGTTTAAGGTGGTGGCGACGGAGGGGTCGGAATGCCGGAGCAAGTTCTCGACCCCTCTGGCTATCTCTTGGTCCGTCACCATGCTTCCTTCCTTCATATAATAATATACCCTTTTAAGTAATACTCAACTGAAACATCCAACAAACGTCGTCTTCTCTCTTCACCCTTTGTCTCTATCTCTCTATCCAACTACTGCTCTGTCTTTCTCTCTCTCTCTCTCTCTCTCTTTATATTCACTCAAATGACGTAAATGTCCCCCTCTCTCCATACCTTTGTTCAAATTTATAAGGAAATGACGCTCCTACCCTTATTCATATTACTTATATTCGATCCGATTCGAAACATGAAGTTAAATTTTAAGAATGTTAAATAGTTTAGTTAAAATTTAAGGTGGAGTATTATCAAATAAAATAAAATAAAATAAATAAGGTAGAGTGTCTTTTTAGTTTTACAGAATCAAATTCAATTTTTATCATCAAATTAAAATTTTATCAATTGATTTAATAATTTGTATGTTAAATATTGTATCACTATTCTAATTGTAACAAATATAAATCATAATTTATATAAATATAAAATATTTAAAATATAATTATAATGTGACAAATATATACAAAAATGATAATGGGTTATATCAAATTAAATTTTTGACTAATATGAGTATTATATTTTTCCTCTCGATTCTCAACTTGATATTAATTTAAGGATAATAATTTATCATTCAACTCGAATTTTAGAGTTAAAATTCATCCAGAACCTTATCTCAACTTGATATTAATTTAAGGATACTAATTAGTCACTCAACTCGAATTTTAGAGTTAAATTCACCCATAACCTAACTCAGTATTAATATAATTTCTTTTATTTAATAAAATAAGAAGTTAGTTGAAAATATATAAAAAATAACACTATAAAAATTATCTTTCAAAATATAAAAAATAATTATATTATTTTCTTGAATAATTTTTTTTATAAAATTATCATCCCTGTTTACATATTAAAATACATGGATTGTTGCCAAGTTTACTCGAGAGAAAAGGTTGTTGGGGGTAGAAATGTACTTGAACGAAGTTGCTTGCTTCCCTTTTAATGTTTCCCTCGCTTTAAAATCAGTTGCAATGACAAGAATGGCCTTTACAAATTGTGTTTTATATGGGAACAAAGGCAAACGCGAAGGTGGAGTATGGGGTAGAATCGTAAGTTGAAGCTCGGTGGCAGGTGGTACACAATTGAAAAAAATAAATGCTTGGTTGTAAAAATATTTGAGACTTTGAAGAAAAAGAATTCAGTACTCAACACTCATCGTATTATTCAATTTTAACAAAAACAAAGGGTTTGATTGTAAAATAATTATTTATATTATACTTTTTAGATGTTTAATATTTTATTTTATGATGAACTTAAGATCAATTTGTTAGAGATATTTTAGTATCCAATAAATATATGACACGTGATCGCCATTTTCTTCTTTAATTTATTGTCTTAAATAGAAAAAAATTTATGAAATCTTAAAAAGATGAACGAATATTTTTTTATAAAATAAAAAAAAATCACAAGTTACAAACAATTCAATTAAAAATGTATTTATTTAAGAGTGAAATAAAACCCTAATCCCTTAAAATTCTTTTTGGTTTCTATTTTATGTGCTTGTAATTAGGGGTGTTCATTCGGTTAATTCGGTGGCCGAACCGACCGAACTACCATTTTCGAATTAACCGAACTTTTTTTTTCTTTAACGTTAACCGAACCGAACCGAACCGAACTTTTTTTCGAAAATATTAACCGAACCGAATAAATTTCGGTTAATTCGGTTAATTTTCGAATTAACCGGATTTTTTTAAAATTTTCTAATTTATATAAAAATTAAATATTTTATAATTCAAAAAAACAGTTTATAATTAATTTAAATAATATATAATTATAAAATAAAAATTGTATATAAATTTTTTAATTAATTAATATTGATTTAGGTTTAAAAGTTATTGAATCTTAAATTATTAATTGGGTTTTAAATGGTTTGGGTTGAGCCCATATGTTATATATAATATATTTAATATTTTTTAATTAAAAAAACAATTTACAATTAATTTAAATAATATATAATTATAAAATATAAATTTTATATAAATTTTTAATTAATTAATTAATATTGATTTAGGTTTAAAAGTTATTGGATCTTAAATTATTAATTGGATTTTAAATGGTTTGGGCTGAGCCCATATGTTATATATAATATATTTAATATTTAAAATTTTAATTCGGTTAATTCGGTTAATTCGGTTAATTAACCAATTTCGAATCGAATTAACCGTTAACCGAATATCCAAAAAAACCTTAACCGTTCCCCGACCGAACTAATTCGGTGGCCGACCGAATTAACCGAATTAATTCGGTTCGGTCGGTTAATTCGGTTAAAACCGAATTTTGAACACCCCTACTTATAATGACGAGTTAAGAAAAATATAGAGTTCGAATCTCATTAACGATGGATAACAATTATTTAATGAATGCGACAAATTGGCTTGAAAACGAGAATACAATAAAACACTGAACAAGCATAAGCATCAAAAATGAAAATAATTTAAATACTTATTATATTTCTTTGAAACAAGTTACCACATGAATGATTAAAAAGTTGTTTAGAGTGGTTGGGACTTGGTGTTTTCATTTTACCAAGAAGAAATGCATCTCTTTTTCTCTTCTACCAATCACCGTTTTTCTCATCTGTCCCACCTTCTTTGGTGGGCGTACAATACCAAGATGTTACAATTCACAGCACGCTACAAACCATGAATTTCACACCCGCTATAAAAATAAAATCAATAATATAATAAAAATATAAATAATAAATATACGGTGGACACCGGTGCATGTGGACGTGGGGCGGAGCCTCCAGGTCGAGATGTATCGGCGGCTGTGATTGCAACAGTGCGAAGCCGAGTTTTTCGGATTGTAAGAAATGCATGTCGCGGTGCAAGTGCGGTTGTGTTTCTTGAATTGGTCTTTTTATTCCAAGGTATGGTTCTAGAATTAGTTCTGTATTCATTCGGAATACAAAGCATCAAGCTTTGTATCACTTAGTTAAGTGTTGATGCCTAATGTCTTGTTTCTTCAATGCATCAGGCTTGGAATTTTAGTGCAAGAGATTATTATTGTTGCAGGTTTCAACATACATTCAAGGGTTTACAAACCAAATGGATTACACAACAAAAAAGACCATTTTCAGTTGGCAAAGTACACTACTCTGCTTCTTATCTCCAAACACAACACAGTCCTCAATCTCGTGGCGGGGCAACCTTACCACGACAGGTTCCGAAACCAACATTGTAACCACTCCCCTGCTTCATGCAATTTAAAACTCTTTACAAATACATGAAATTACTAATGTTAAGCACTCTACACTAGTGAAGCAGAGAAATTACCTTGCAGCAACCAGTGAATATTACTTCATCCCCATCTTCTAAGAACTTTCGAGCTGTCCCATTCAACGACAGTGGTTTCTGTCCATTCCATGTTAGTTCCAGCAAGCAACCAAGAGAATCTGGCTCCTGTTCGAAACACGAGAAGGGTAAGCTATGAGCAAACACTGCCAGATTCATTTGCAGTGGCCATCATCCTGTTACATACACCAGAACTACATTCATCCATATGTCCAAAGAACCCACTTTGCTGGCTTGTTCATCAGACATCAACACAACATGCATGCTTACTTGTGTCTGTGTGGATTGGCAGATATTTTTGAAGGAAAGAAGAAAGAATGTTGAAAGGTAGGTAAGAAAAATACAGGTCCACTAATGGTCCCAGTTCCAAGGAGATCGCCAGGCCTCAGGTTGCAACCATTGATTGTATGGTGTGCTAGCTGTTGAGTCAACGTCCAATATCTGTTACAAAAGGTTATACAAACTTCAGTAAGTATTTCATTTCGGCAAGCAATGCTCCATATTTCACCCAGGCACCAAAATTTGCATAGAATGAGGCAGTTTGATTCATTGGTTCATTATTTCATTAAGGGAAAAGACGGCTCTCAGAATAATAAGTGTACAAGTGACTTGGAACTTCTTACAGGTTCTTGAGATTACTTCTTGTAACCACACTTGAATCTTTTTGTCCGGAAGGTTTAATTTGAACCTAGCAGCAAGAAACAAGATAGAATCTCAAGACACTAGGGAAAAGTCTATTAGAGAATAACATGGAAGACTAAGTTGGATAATGAAGTATTGAAAATCCAATGGGATATATCCACTAAGCTGGTAGATGCTACCTCCAACGCAATATCATAGTTTTTGGATATCTTCTCAGCCAGATATGGCGGTGGAGAGGGATCCTGCATTGACAGCAGGCATCTTCAGCTACTTCCATTAAGAATAATCACTATGAAAGAGAATAGGGAAAAAGCTAGGAGCTCCAATGGCTTTAAGATCCAACACAACTAATAGACACCTACCTGCTTAGGAGCATTGCATGCAAATGGCTCCAGAGCATCTAGGGTCACAATCCATGGGGATATTGTAGTACCTGAAAGATGAGAGAAAAGCGAGTAAATTCCTGGTATAACAATCTGTGGAGAATCACATAACCATCCTATGTTACTCAGAGTCAGATGTGACTGCTGGATATGAGCACGTTCATAGGTTTCTAAGTTTCTTCATTTAGTTTGAGGGTCCATTGAAAGTCATATCCCAATACCTTGTCTGAATATATGTTGAACACAGGATATTGACCGGTTGAATCCAATATGATAGCTTTATTGTTTCCCTATAATTTTACGAATTCTTCGTTATCTTGTTAATTAAATTTGAACTTCCTCCTAAGAGCCTCAGAACAAAAGCAAGAACAAGTTTTCATTCTTTACCAAAACTCTTTCCAAGAAAGGGTCCAAGAGGGACATATTCCCATGCCTGAACATCCCGAGCTGCCACAACCAAATAGTTTGTTTAAAATATGGTATTTGTTGGATAAAAAAAGAGAGAGAGGATGATGCAGAAAAGCAACTAAACGTAAGCATACCACTCCAATCGTTCATCAAGACAACTCCAAAGATATGATCTGCTGCCTCATTAACATCTATAGCTTTCCCTAATTCATTTCCTGGACCAACTACAGCAGCCTGCCAGTTTTGAAGGAAACCATATAAGAGAATAATTCGTGGTGAAGTAGAAAGAGAGAATAACATGATAACAGTAAAATGAAAGGCTGACCATTTCAAGTTCAAAATCTAGCTTCAATGAAGGTCCAAAATATGGTGGAGAGTTACCAGTTGGACGACCTTGACCCCTAAAAGAATAGAGAATCAAGCCAGTTAAACTCTAAGGCGGAGTTGACAACTATGAGCTATGCTAGTATCTCTGTCCCTAATTAAAAACGATTTGGACATTTTGACAAAAATCATAGATGAAGTTCCATACACTGACCTAAATTTTAAGGTTAAAAAACAAGGAATAAGTAATTTGAACTTCTGACCTTGGTCTAATAATATCAGTTCCGGAGATGACAATAGATGATGCTCGTCCGTGATATGCAATGGGAAGATGGAACCTGGACAGTGCAGAACGTCCATGCTTATGAGTTCCCAAATGAGAGAAGGTACATAAGCCACCAACTCTTTCATTTGTTAAAACTTTCGAAAATAAGATTACCAGTTTGGTGGAATCGGGGTTTCAGGTCCAACAAATATGGTTCCACAATTCTTTGCATGATGCATGGATGAAAAGAAGTCCGTGTAGTCTCCAATTTCCATAGGAAGAACCATTTCCACCTTGCTCTAACGATTTCACAAATAAACTGAAATAAAATTGAATGCAAGAGCATTTTCATAACATACTGAAATCTCATGTGTATAATCTTACCGTTGGCAGGAGTGCCTTCTGCCTCAACACCGTATCATCACGCAGGGTTGGTTCTGTAGCTGCACAGATCCATATGATGGTCAGTTTTCCCCATTCCAAGTATAAAAAATGAATCTTCATTTCACTTGAAAACTACATTGTGCTTTTGAAGGACTAGATTATTGCAACTTTAATAATACTTGATATATTTCATGCTATCAGCAAAATCAAGCTACTCTACCTCGGGGGTGACTAATGTAATACGAGCATAAAAGTGGTAAAATAATTTTTTAAAGGCAGAAACATCAATAGACCTATGACTTACGACTATATAAGTCTAGGAAGTTAGAAACACATGGATCTCGACATACCCATGTCTAAAAATGTAGAATATAAAAGATCAATATGTAGGAAGACATACATGACAATAGCTTTTGAAGAGTTTTACGTGCTTCCTTCCAAGCAGGTCGCCCCATAGCCAAAAATTTGTTCAGAGTAGGCTGACACAAAAACCAACCAAATCACAATCAATCGGTTCAGCTTAACAAACTCCCATAACCAAAGCAAGAAATGAAACCTGAAGGAAGCAATCGGAACCGGTGAGTAGAGGGCCGTTGAAAAGACCGGCTTTGGCGATCTCAGAAAGGTCCAGAGCATAGTCGCCGATGGCGACGGCGAGACGGGGGAGTTCAGTGGAAGGTTGGGTTTTGAAAGCTCCATAGGGAAGGTTTTGGATGGGGAAATGGGAATCGGGATGGACATCGATGAACGACTTCAAAGCCATTTATGTCTCTTGAAAAAAAAGAAACAGGTTTCAAGAGAGGAGGGGAAGTAGAGGGGCAGAGGTGAGGAGTGAGTTTCCATGCATGTGATATTTAAAGGCGTTCATAACCATCTGATTTGATAGGGGTAGGTAAGTGATAAAGGATCATCATTGTTCATCAATCGAGGCTACCTACTTTTCAATCTGTCTTTTTTACCTTCCCTTCTTCCTAATATAAGAGTTACATGTTGTATTATAATCTTTCCATAACATTACAAAACCAACCAAATAAAATTATGTTTTCTCTCTCTCATTTAATCGATCCAAAATATTATGAGTAGTTTTATTCAAGTTCAAGGATTTATCTAACATTTGAAAGAATCTACTATCCAATCAAGCTCAAAGATTTTTTTCCACTTTTGATTCTACTAAATAAAGACCTCAAAATATCAGTCAAAACCGTCGTCATCGACTCTAATCTCCCTTGACGATTAAACATGAAGTTCAACTCCATTAAAATAAATCCTTCAACTTCCTTGCTTTTGTACTCTTACTCTCGGGTAATTGCGACGGTCTTTTAATCCCGTCATTTTCCTCTTGGGGTTTGATTACTCCAACGATGGGTGGTTTTTGAAATGAAAAATTCGAACTGAGCACCGACGCCTTGGATGCTCGCTTTGGTCTTGAGTGTCTGCTTCCCTTTGCCCCGTTGAATCACTCAGAAAATATAACATCACCAACCAAACTAATACCGTCGATAACTAGGAAAGCTCGGATTAGTTTTTTTTTAGGGATTCTAAAGGACCAAAAAGGGGGTGGCGAGACGGAGAAGTTTAGATTTTGGTGTCAATAAGAACAAAGATTGCTTAGGACATGCCTTGGAAAATCTTCAACTTAGAAATTATACGATAATAGGGTTCTCTTTACCAACATATCTTACAACAGTTCCCTTGGATTCTCCTCCTTGTAAAGACAGTACATTGTCCGGAATAGTTACATGTTTGAATCAAACTCTATTTATAATTCTTAAAAAAAGGACAGTGATGAAACCAAATCACATCAATAAAATAAAAAGAATCAAGTTCATGACAAATAAAAAATATAAGGGCCACGGGCGTGGCTGAGCCAGCGCATAGTGTGCGACGACGTAGAGTTTCAAAACACAGGAGCTCCGAAATAGAGTATATATCGGTTGTTACCATTAAAAAGCAGAAAAATAGGTATAGAGTAGTAGTTAGATTATTGGACCCATGACTTTGTTTCCTAAATTCGAATATCATTAACAATCAAAATTAATTTTGGGAAAAACAATACAAGTGGGCCCCTATTTTTAAGTTAATAAAATTAATCATTTATTATTTTAGAAAAATAAGGTCGAGATCTAAAGGTCCCTTTACAAGAATTTACACATGACCTCCAACAACTTAACCACGACCCTGATAATGACCAAGTTAGAAAAATCCCTTACTGCTCCAATGACTTTGATGGCAATATGCTCTTTTAGGGATTTGCTCTAATTATTCTTTACGAAGAAGCTATTGAGCATAATAACTGTTGTGTCGAATGGCGATGATGATTTAAAGAACGTCATAAAATGATAGTATAAGTGAAAGAAGGTCGATGGCCAATTTAGAAGAAGACTTTTGGGGTTTTTTAGGGAAGAAAATGACTTTAATGTGTTACGTTAGTATTTTTAAAGACAACTGGGGATAGTGACCGTTATTAAGGTAAATTAAAATTTTAGAAATTATATTGTAAATTTTAAAAGTTGAGAGCGAAATACATTTCCTTAAAAGTCGGGTGACTTTTTTTAGTGTACCCTAAAAGTTGTATAGAGCAAAAAAAAAATCCCCTACATTTCAGAGTAATTTTTACGCGGTGTTTTTCAGAGAATGCTATCGTCGGTGATACTATAGTTTTAGTGGCGGTTCTTGATTTGCATCACTGAATTCATATTTTAGTGGCATACTGATAACAATTGTAGTTTAAAACAAGGTTGATTACATGTTTCATCTGAGTTTGTAGTTCATAATAGTTATTAGTTACGCTCTAATGTTAACAACGAACTTTGCAAGGGGCAGAAAATTATTGACGCTCGTAGTCCACCCTTGGCCTTTTGTGTGTGAGAGAGCTAGGAGTTTGATATAACATAGTTTTAATAAATAATTTAGCTTGATATAGGGTTGAATATCACTTTATCAAACAATGTGACCATTTAAGAACGTTTGCTATCATTTTAACCCTCAATAATATTTTGTCAAATAATGTTGTTATTTAAGAATTTGTACTATTAATTTTACCATTCAACTTTCTTTCGTCGACATATTACTTATTATCATCATAAAATGCTATTAATCTGGGTCACTTTAAAAAAACATGAATTTTCAGTAGTTAATAGGAATTGTGTCAAATCTTTGAAGCAATTGATTGATAAAGCCATGACAACATCAATGATCGACTGGGTATTGTTAAAATTGAAAGATTGATACAAGTGCTCCCATGCATCGACACATGAGGAAGGTGTATGGGAAATCGACAGCATGTTGGAACCACTCGCCCTCATGCTGACCAACGATGTTGGCAAATCGATCGAAAATGGAATGCTGCATTCATCCAAGGTAATTGTGAGAGAAAAAATAATTCCCAAGTAGGAACTTAAAAAATAAATAAATTGACAAGATAAAGATTTTTTTTTAGTTTTTTAAAATGACACATGTCACATATCTATTGGTCAACTTATACCACGTCAGCATCACGTCACAACAATGAGTGATGTGGGTGACTTCAAGAAAGTTGAGTGGCCAAATTGATAGCACAATTTTTAAATGGACATATTATTTGGTAGGGTGTGGTTGAGTGGCCAATTTGATAGACAAAATTATTAAATGGGCACATTATTTGATAGAGTATAGTTGAGTGGTGAAAGTGGTATTTAGCCCTGTAACATAAAAGTGATTTTAATAATAATTGATGTTAAAGAGAATTAGTAGGGAAGTTCTACAGTACGATACTCTTAATATAAGATTAAAAAAATACTATCGATTTTGTTATTATTTAAATAAAAAATCGGTAAAAATTTATCTGAAATATTATTATTTCTACCTAAAACATCAATATTTTTTAATATTTCCGATAAAGTACCTAATAATAATAAAATCGATAGAAAAAATAATAAAACCGATAAAACACTTAATAATAACAAAACCAATAGAAATAATATATTTTCGATAATTTATTACTTATTTTATTATTTAAATAATAATAAAATTGATAACCTATTTTTTTAACCGTATATTAAATTTGTTTCATTTCCCGAATTAGTCACCAAATAGAATAAAGCGTCACCCTTTTGCTTTGCTTGCCCTTCTTACCTTTTACTTATTCTTATTCTCTCCGCCACTCTTTCGATTGCCTTCATGTGTTTTTTTTAATAACTGCAACTAAAAGCTAAAACCCAGATTTCTAATTCTCTCTCTTGCTCCCATAATGCTTTTGTAGTAGCCTCTGTTAGTGTTTCTCTGGCTTTTCTTCTATCTTTTAGAGTTCCAGGTATTGAGTTTCGTTCAGCTTCAGATTTGATTGAGTGGTTTTTTCATTATTTACTCTATTAAATTTAATCTTTGTTTGTTTATTTTTTTTCTGATTTTGTGCTATTTGATTCAGTTTCTATTGATGTTTGGGATTAATTTGCTTAACAGTTTGAGTGGAGTTCTATTTTTAAAATCCTCTGGTGAAACTGGAATTCGAAATTTTAAATCTTGGCCATGGAAAGCTTAGTGGGAGAAGCATAACTAGCTTAAGAGTTTTGAGTGTAGTTCTATTTTTTAAATCTTCTGGTGGAAACCGGAATTCGAAATTTTGAATCTTGACCATTTAAAGCTTAGCGAGTATATATTCCCTAATTGATACTTAACTCATGTTTTGTGCCTAATTGTTATTTAGATTAGTTTAAAGTTTTAATGTTGCTTATTTCAAAGAAGGAACAAATATGTGATATTGTTACTTAGACCTGCTGTGCACTTTCTATGGTTCTTTCATCTTGCAGGAATATCAATATTTGTCTAAAAAATGAGTGGAGAAAGCTAGAGATTTGAATTTGAGTGATAGAAGGCATATAAAGACCTATGGTGTGCATTGTTTTTGGCCTAGATGGAATTCTCTCGTCTTTTTAAGGTTGCTTATTTTGAACCAGCCGGTGCTTTCTGCCTGCGATATGTCTATTTGTTAGCCTTAAGTTGGGCATTTTGAATAGGGTTGTAAATGAGACATATAGTGAGTTACTCGAAATCGATTCAGTCAAAGTTCGACAAATACTTAACTCGAATGGACTTAACTCGAATTCTTAACGAGCCAAAATGAGCTACTTGATACTCGACTTGAAAAGGTTGCGAGCAACTCGAAAAAAATTATATATTAAAATTTTATTTTTGAAAAAAATTAAATTGTTAATAATATTAACATTTATGTGTTGATTGTTTCTAAAAAGAATATAGTATAAGGTTTTTATGTGCTTAAGGTTCGAGTTTGAGCTTTAACCGAGTTAAGATTTTTTTTATCTCGAGCTTTTTCAAGCTTCAATTCATGATTTCAAGTTCGAGTTGAGCTTGAAAATTTTAGGCTCGCGAGTTTTCGAGCTGAGTCAAGCTTAGCAATACTCAAGCTTGACTCGGTTTATTTACAGCCCTAATTTGAATGTAAGGCTTTCATTGGATCTGTTAGACTGTGTTGAAGTATGTTTCTGAAAAATCAAAGGCCCAAGTGCAGGCATATTTAAGTGATTATTCTGTGCCTCTGTTTACTTTCTGCATGAAAGAACTTCAGCTAACTGATTATAGCTTTTTTTTGCTGGAAATTTATCCCTGTTATATGCGTGGATTCCTTCCTAACATTCATCAATTCATATTCTGTATATCACTTGGGGTGATAGAATTGTTCATGTCTCTTTCAGTGAGCCCAGCTGTCATCTCTTTCAAGAGTGTGTAATTTGGTAGCTCAGGCAGAAAGTCATCTTTCTTGCGCCACAAATATATGCATGTGCGTTTCTTTGACCATTGACATTGTCATTAAAGA